TTAATAACCCTATGATTCTACTAAAAGGGAAGAGTTTGACAAGTGATAGCAAAGTTGACTTTAATAATGGTCTACGATACGTAAATATACACTGCAACCTAGTAAGTAACAGTTTTAACGTTAGCCCTTGGGGAAGACCCAGCGATGTGATAACAAGTGTTACAGTTCCAACTGACAGACCATTATTAGGCTCAGTAGTTAGTTACATTGATGTTGAAAGCAGGATTTCGGTTATTAAGGGTTCTTTCTCAGAACTTATATTCCACATGACAGATCAAGACGGGAAACCTACTGATATAGGTGAAGTGCTACTTGAGATGTACCTTGAGTAATAACTAAGTTATTGGCGTCTACTAACGTAGTCGGTAGTTGGCTTACATTGGTTAGTATAAGATGGACGATGATATTATGAAAGAACAGGGACTACGAGATATTTACTACAATCCTAAGACTGGATTCCAGACACCAGAGAAACTATATCTTAGAGCAATATCAGACGGACTTAAAGTAACCAGAAACCAGGTTAAGAAATGGATAAACGAGCAAGACACATATACTAGGTACAGACAAGTGTTTAGGAAACATAAGTTCAGACAGACGTACGTTCAAACTTTAGGTGAACAGTTACAAATGGATTTAGTTGACATGACAAAATATGACGATAAGAACAAGGGATACCGCTGGATTCTCACATCCATTGAAATACTAAGTAGGTACGCATTCACGGTACCAGTGTATAGGAAAAACGCGACATCAATGAAGGACGCAGTCAGTAACATTTTAGAGCAATTTAATAATCACTTTGGTAAATACCCAAAATTCGCCCAGTTTGATCAAGGCACAGAGTTCTACAACAAGGATGTAAAATCATTGCTTAATAAACATAACATTGAGTTTTTCTCTACTTACTCAGATAAAAAGGCCGCCGTTGTGGAAAGATTTAACAGAACACTGAAAGCGCTAATGTGGAAGTACTTTTACAGTGCCAGTACATATAAATGGTTAGACGTTCTTCAAGCCTTAACTGATAATTACAACAGTTCAGTGAACAGATCAATTAAAACAACACCGGACAGTGTAAATGAGTCCAACTGGACTGAAGTATGGAAGACACTTTTTAGTCACAATTTAGGCAAGTCATCAGAACCAAAGTTTGCTGTCGGAGAAAGTGTTAGAATTTCAAAGTACAAATCAGTGTTCACAAAAGGTTACGAAGCAAATTTCACAGAGGAGTTATTTACGGTGACGGAAGTGTATCACGGTTATCCAAACACGTACACAATAAAAGACAGTGCTGATGAACCAATAATTGGCAGATTCTATGAACAAGAACTGTATAGCGCTGAAGGAAGGGAACCTGATTTTAACATAGAGAAAGTGCTGAGGAGAAGAACATTAAAGGGTAAAAAGATGGCCCTAGTTAAGTGGTTAGGTTATGATGACAAATTTAACAGTTGGATACCAGCTGGAGACATCAAGTCCCTAACATAGGTTAAAGTATTATGGAGGATTATGATGACATTCAGTTGGAGGAAGCAGAAAAAACTTATCCTCAATATGACGACCTTAATTATGATGACCTAACGACAGCTTTTAATAGGTTAGATATAAGGGTGAAGGATGAGGCTATGTATGGTAGTGATCCTATAGTGATAACCGATCTTAAAAGTGAACTGGACTATGTAAAGGATCTCATGGAGAGACGTGAAATAGAAGAAACAACTTTCACCGAAGGAAATGATGGTACAGTGAACATTTCAGGTCCATCAGGAAGCACAACTGTTCCAGAAGTCAACTTTGTGGAAGACCCAAACAATGTACTTCCAGATGTGCTAGATGCATTCAACGAATCATTTAACGCTGACTGGGATGAAATAGAAGCCCGCCTAGAGAAACTAAATAAGATTTCAACAGAAAATAAAAAGAGAGATTTTGGAAACCAGGTGGAGCGTGTTCAAGCTGTCACAAGAGTTATCAAGGGTAAGGAGGGACTGATACTGGATCCTAGGAATAGATACGTCAGGGAACTCATCAAACGATCATCTGTAAAAACACTCAAGGATGGCACAGAGGTGTTGGTATTCAGAAGTGAACAAGGTATTAATAAAAGTGGGACACAAATAATGAAACGTGGTTTTTCCGACAAACCTGTGTACTCAAAGGCCTCACCTGCACTGAGAGAATACAAGGACCTTATAAAGAAAATAAAAAAGGTACCTACAAATCCTGACGACATAATTGAAAGTGAAGAGCCGCAATTTGATGGCAGTGACGAAGAATACGCTGACCGTGAGAACATTGAGTTAATAGATATAAGTGCAAAACTAGGAGACCTTCCAGGGCTAACAATGCAAAAAAATAATGAACTGAGAGGTGTTCTTAACCCACCTGATGGATCAAGTATAGAAGGTAGAACAGGTCCCAATGGAGCGTTACAAATAGAAGCTGACTACTTTAATGAAGCCATTGGTGAAACTGTGGAACGAGCCACATCTGCGGAAGGTACAACTGAGTATAATTCCCTCCTAGAAAGAATTGACAGTTTGAAGGAAGCCAGGGATAGGACACTAGAGCAGAGAACTGTAGAGGAAGCAAGAGAGGCACAGTTGGAAGATATTTCTAGATTACGTAGATTTATAGACTGGGTAGGAAAGGAAAAAGTGGGACTTGTGGGGATAGCAGTGTCAACAGCTAGTTTAATTACAGCCTTACTAATCCATGCTAGGGGAGCCATTGTGAAGACAGGAAAGGCCACTGGTAAAGTAGCAAAAGCATTAGCAAATTTAGCAAAGAAAGCAGGACCAATTCTAGTTCCAATCCTGAACGCAGTTGCAACAGCGCTATCATGGGGAGCCAAAGGAATTGCTTGGTTAGCGTCACACTTATGGGTACTAGTTGTAGCAGCTACCCTAATTATATATAACTATTACACAAAGTAAATTAGCTATGGAGGAACACCAGGAGGAATACGATGACCAGAAAATGGAGGAGCTGAAGGAAAAGTATCCAAACTATGAAGAAATGGATATAGAAGCTTTAGATAGCGAATTACCGTACCTTGACAAGGATCTTAGGGAAAGTGAAACTACTGAGGAGACCCAGGATATTAACGAGGAAATTAACTACATACAGGAACTGAGGAGGAGAAAAATACTGACTGAAGACCTTACGAGAGAGCAATTAGCTGAGAAATTCCCTGACCTATCTAATCTGTCATACGATGATCTAATTGATAGGGGAGACAGACTTTTAAATGAATTAATATTATCAAATTTGGATGAAGATAGTTTCAAAGAAAAGTCGGAAGAACTGAGGTACGTTAGAATGCTATCAAACGATTACCAAAGAGAGTCAAATCTAAATAAACTTCTCAACTTAAGAGATAAGGTGAAAAAGAGGGATCTCATTAAACGGGATGATCGTAGGAGACTGCAGGTTATGGGTAAGGGAGAATGCAGGCATCTTATCAGCTGTTCTAATTTCCTCATCAGCTGTAATCATAGGACTGGTAGCATCAACTAGAAACATATTATGGAAAGTAGGTGACACAACAGGAAAACTTGATAAGCGGATTAGTGAGTTGGCAAACAACCAAATAGAACTACCACCTGTATTCCAGAAGATAGCCGATGGAGTAGAGTTAGCAGCGAATAATATATGGATAATCATTGTATGTGCAGCAGCAGTTCTACTGTATGAATATAACTAAACATTACATATTGTATAAAGTATGAATACCACAGAAAGAGAACTCCAGCCTGGCTTTAGGAGGAGCCGCATGACGTCCGTAAAAGGACCAAGAACTAGAAGTGTCGTAAAATTTAATCCAACAACTATCAGCCCAGGTGAAGAGCTATACATTAACATTCCTAAGCTAAAACCTGACTCCTGCCTTGTTCCAGGATCACTTGCACTATTATTTGACTTCAAGAATTCTAATACAAAAAGCCACTTTAATAACAACCTGTCTAAGTTGATAGCTAAACGTCTTCAGATTAAAGTAGCAGGTGAAACAGCCTATGACTGTTCAGGAGAGAGTTTGTATGAAATTTATAAAGATCTATGGCTAACACAGGGTGACAGAAATAAGATGACAGAACAGGGCCTCGGAAGTGAAAACCTAAGAAAGCTAATATCAGGTGATGACTCAGGTGTAAAGGTTGGTGATGCCAATAAAGTAGCAGATGCACTTCTTCACAGTGTTTACGGCTCCAAACTTAGAAAACCAATTGATAAGATTATTGCAGACCATGGACTCTACACACCGTTCTCCATGAACAACAATCCTATGTACATCCTCACACTCCCGCAATCAGATGAGATTATGACTGCCCAAGGAGGTGAAGCTAAGGGTAATTATAAACTGGACAATCTCGAGTTAGAATATGAGACCATCGAGAATGACGCCCTTGCAGGTGAAGTATCAAGGATGTATTCAACGGGTCGCTCACTGTCCTACAAACACGTTACACTTATGCGTACAAGTAATTGGGACAAAGATCTTACCATTGTCAATGAAAACATTAATATCCCCAGAAAGAGCATGTCAGCAATTGTCCTTCTATTTACCAACAGAGTAAGAACCAATTCTGAAGAATATATTTACCCAAACATTGATAAAGTGAACCTGACCATTGAAGGTGTGCCTAATGCAGTTTTCTCCCAGGGACTTCATAAAAATAGGTTCTTTGAAGAGGCAAAACGATTCTTCTGTCCTATGTGTGAGAAATCAATGGCAGATGAATTTATGTCCATCAGCAGGTTCTTCAGCAACGGTTTTGCTCTAGTAATTGATCTAAGGTCAACTCAGGATGATACCACTGGAGGAGGAAGAAAGATTGTTAACACACAGTCTGGAGTACTTATGGAAATCAAGAAGCAAGCCACAACAGCTGACGTTCAGTGCAACATTTTTGTTGTATCGGATGCCCTCCTTAACTTTGCGAATAGAGATCTATCAAGTATTCAATATTAGCTTGCACCAACGGTAAAGCATAGAGATGCAACCCGAACCACCATTCAACATGCTCATAGTAGGAATGACAGGAAGTGGTAAAACTCAGTTCTTACTTAATATGTTAGAAACAGAGTACAATAAAGTTTTCGATTATATTGTGATTATATGTCCAACAATAGAATGGAATATGACTTACATTAATTGGGCTCATATTAGTGATCATGGAGTCATACAAATTCCATGTTCACAAGAAATGATTAATATAGTTCTCAAGGCAGTGTCCACCATATTCCGCGGTACTCAGACTCTCATTATAGTGGATGATTGTGCTGCGAGTCAAGATGTAAAGAAAAGAGTCTCAGAACTGGTGCGCCTAGCATTCTCCGCAAGACATTACAATATATCAGTCATTGTAATTACTCAACAACTATCATCAATAGCAAAACCATTTAGGGAGAACATTTCCAGGTTAGTTACATTTTACAACCCTAGTCGCAGAGATATGAAGGTCATAACAGATGATTACCTAAGTGGTGTCCCTCAGGAGACAATTACAGAGATTACGAAAATACTAAAAGATGAGAAGTTCACCGCATTAGACATACTACTTATTCACCCTTACACATACACTATCAAATAAAACACCGCGTAATATATAGAAGATGGGAAGTGAATCTGATGAAGAAATATCTGCAGCTGTGAGGGAAGTAGAAGAGGCCGCAAAGACACCGCAAAAGAAAGCAAGAAAAACTAAGCCCATCGCAGATAAGTCGCAAACTGAAAGCAAAAGGAATAAGCTTATCGAGCTATCTAAGGATGGTGTAATTGATAAGACCGCAAGTTTCATAAGAAAGTCCAACAAAGATGTTGTGGATAGACTTTACAGTGAGTATGAAAGTCAGAGGATGTCATGCGCAAGTGACTTCTTATCAACACTTATTATCTCAAAGTTTGCTTCCATACTAGGAAGTTTTAATGCGGTGGAATCTTCTGAGAAGCTGTCAGAGGAACTACTTAGTGATAAGCTTTTAAAGGATGACGTATGTTATTTAACTAGAACGATATCCCCAAACATTCCATTCATAGGTCTCATATCAGGTGGATGCACAACAGCAAAGCACGTGGTTGCTCACAAGTGGAAGAAGAAGGAAAAGACTGAGGAAATATCTGAGGAAGCAAAACAAATCTTATTACATAGTGAAGAAGAATGTCTCAACTTGGAGAGCCGTACGATTGGGGAAACGCCTGGGAAGGAACTGAATTTGAAGACATAATTAATGAACTGATTGAGAAGACCGACGCGAATAAGGAGCAGTTAGATAAAACCCAGTCAGCACTTGATTCAACAGAAAGCTTACTTAAGAAGAACTCAGCAACACTGTTCTCTGTAGAGAAGGACCTGTACAACCTTAAGAATAAGATCATAGGACCACTCCAGTATGAATACCAGGCATTCAAAGATGATGTGGTGAAAACAGTCGTAAAGATATATAAGAAACTAAATGAAATGTAGTATTTTATTTGTTGTAGGAAGTACGTAGTAAGCAGCTGGGTGGGTAGAGGGAATGCTGATACTAGGATAAGGGAAGAGGGGCAATTCGCCCCTCTTCATAAATAAAATTTAAATACCAAACAAACAGCTATTAAATAGGTATAAATATTTTTACATATATAATATAGAGAAAGATGGAAAAACTATTCAGAAACCGAGAGTTGAATGTTAGCGTGAGAACTATTAGGAAGGGTGAGGAGGTACTGTTTTATGCAAAGGATGTGGCGGAATCTCTTGGGTACTCGAATACAGGAAAAGCTATTAGAAACCATGTTTGGGAAGAGGATAAGTGCACTCTAGGGTCCATCCAAAGGGGTGCCCTTGAGGGCACCCCTTTGAAAGGTCAGCCTGGTTCTATTTTAATTACAGAACAGGGTTTGTACCAGTTAATTTTTGGATCAGAGCTTAACACAGCAAAAGAGTTTAGGAGGTGGGTATTTAGCGAAGTCCTTCCATCTATACGAAAGACTGGCTCGTATGAATTGCCAGATAGAAGGTCACTTAGATACAACCAAATGATCCTTATAAATGAAACGGACCTTCATCACGCAGTTGTGAGTTACATTAGAGATAACTACCCAGAGGCTGTAATAGTACCTGGTCTAGGTGAGTATCAGGATACAGTGTCAAGAAGGTGTGATGCCTGGAAGAAGGGATATAAAGGTGGTCAACCAGATCTTATCATAGAGAATCCTATGGGGAAGTACAAAGGATTTGCTATTGAATTTAAGTCTCCTAAGGGCACCGGAGTTATAAGTGAGAATCAGGATATATGGTTCAGGAAATTGAGGGGAATAGGGTACATGACAATGGTATCAGATGATCTAGTAAAGACTTGCATTAGAATCAACGAGTACTTCTCACTTAAGAAGACTATAAGAAAGACCGTAGTGAAGAATGCAGTTTGTGACGTGAAGACGTACAGACCAAGGTTTAATTCAGGTAAGTACTAAGTTATCTCACAAGCAAATCTGAGTTATCTCACAAATAGATCTAAGTTATCTCACCAGTTATCTCACCAGTAGATTTAAGTTATCTCACCAGTAGATTTGAGACATCTCACAAGCAAATTTAAGTTATCTCACAAGTAGACTCTAGATGTCTCACAAGATAAAACCCAGTTAAACCTAAGGTATCTTACAAGTAGAATGGAAGATAAACCTGAGCAAACTCAAGTAGTAACAAGTGAAAAGAAGAAAGACCCAAAAAGAGTAGCTGCAGGAAAACGATTAGCCGCAATCAGTAAAATAGCAAAGGAGAGGAAAAAGAAACTTGCAGAACCTGAGGAGTCATCCAGCAATAACATGATCGCATATGTCGGAGTGGTCATCGCATTGGTATCCCTTGCTCTAGCATTTAATCAGCATCAGAGGGAAACAAAGAAACCAGAACCTAAGTACATCCCTGAAACTGTAGAAGTAACCAGGAAAGCTGATGCGTCCAAGTTAGATTCACTTGAATGATACGTTAAACATAATATATATTATAGCAAGATGAGTAAAGAATCAAAGATGACCGCGGAAGTGTACAACGCAGTGTTACTTACAGCAGGAGCAGTTGGTATATCAATGGCATCGAAAAAACTATTAAAAGAACCATTAGGCACCCCAGAGAACGTAAAAGGAATGGCAAAGTTAGCTGTCTCAGTTAGCCTCTCATCTCTACTAGTCTCCTACCTGAAAGATAAGAAGTATCTACCAGACGATCCATTCAAAACCTAGGTAAAACTATACAATGGCGTCAGCAGTAGCAGGAGGACTATTTAATGCATTTGCATTTGCAGGAGCAGGATTTTTATTTAAAATGTTTGACAAGAATGGATACGCTGAGGAAGCTCATAGACATAACCTTGCAATGGAGAACCTAACAGCTGAAAGAGAGAAGTACCTTCAAGAAGTCACTGATAGAAGAAATAGGATTGCTGAACTAAAGTCGGAACTAGTCGAGGCAAATAAGGATATTAATTCAACGAATAAGTCACTGGAACTCGTTAGAAGAATCAATGAGTTAACACGTAAGGCTGTGCCGAGGAGGCCGCAGTTAAGTAATCACTACAAACCTAGCTCTGAGATGGAAGAATATATGGCAATCTTCGGTTTAATTATAGGTGGGGTGGTTGGAGGGGCAGCTTACTTAATTCTATAAAAAATACATCAATTTTCTTTTACATATATAATATAGCGTAGCGCCTAGTAACATAGTTACTGTAGAGAAATGGATTGGCTTGCAATGGTAGACGTTGATGAAGTGGTAGCCCTGGGAAAAAGGGTGGACACTATAGAAGAACTAGAGGCTGCAGTTAAAAAATATGTGGAATGGCGAATAATAAGGAGGCGTAAAAATAAACCACAAAAACAAGCAGAAAATTTTAACATATATAGTATAGGGGATGGACTGGCTGACACTGGTAACACCTGATGAAATGGAACGAGTCGGTAAGAACGCAAACACTATTGAGGAGTTAGAGGCTGCAGTAATGAAATACGTGAGAAATAAAATGAAGGTGAAACACACATACGAGCCAGTATGCAGTGAATGTGGTAGTAAGTCAATTGTGGTGATAGATGGAGCAGATACATGCACACGTTGCGGAACTAGTGCTATGAACAACTTCACATACTACGTTAGTTACAATCACAACAAGGATGACTACTTGAAAAAGAAATCGTCCCATAATAGAGTCCGTTGGTTTGAGAGACACTTATTCGAGCATGTTGCTTCTGGGGATAGGGATACCATAAGGGAGCAGTTTAGAAGCATCGTAAGATGTATACAAAGACTCAGACTGCAACGGGGGCGCAACATAGTTAGATATAAGTTTTACCTATTAAGGTTAGCCAGCATGAACAACATCATGTTAAGAAACCCACCTGAGGACATTAAGACACAAAGAATTGTGAACATCTTTGAGGACAGACTATATGGAAAGGTTTTCCCCGAGTTGGAATGGGAACCAGAAAATTGTAAATATTATAATAACTGGAAATTAAATAACAAATAAAATATTAAATTATCAAAATAAATAAAATATTAATTATCAAATTAAATAAAACATTAATTATCAAATTAAATAAAATATTAATTATCAAATTAAATGATAAATAAATTATTGAATTAAATAAAAATTAAATTATAAAATATTAATTATTAAATTAAATAAAAATTAAATAAACCTTTAAATAGGTCTATTTTTTTTTACCTATAGTATATAGAGAAAGAGTGAAAAATGGCGACAAACTTTGATATGAACAACATGACCGTCGAACAACTTATGGCACTTAGCGAGATAGTTGATGACAGCGATATTAGTGATTTCGAAGATGAAGTGGAGAAGATAACGAAGGACGAATTCTATCGAGTTGCACCTAAGGATAAGGGCAAAGATCCCTTTGAAGGAGAAAGACTATTCATAGATGAAGGAGATCGTTCTACTGACCCAAGAAGAGCACGAAGACGACCATTGAATAAGAAGGGTGAGAGAGGAATTATGCCAACGTGGAAATATTCCGAAAGACAGAAAGCTAGGGCTCTGCTGGTCGAGGAGGCGTATCAAAGTCTACTCAGTCAGGGAGTTGAGGGTTTACCACCAACAATGGGAGGTAGATGGAGAACTGATGATCCTCAAGTTAATGCGGAGATGAAGAGGCTAGAGAATATTAGGAATCCAAAACGTCCTAGAGGAAGACCACCAAAGGCTAAATCTGATGCAAAGGTTGCGATCCCGAAGAAACGTGGAAGACCAGCAAAGGCTAAGGTTGACACCAAAGTAGTAATTCCAAAGAAACGTGGAAGACCAGCAAAGGTTAAGTCTGAGGCTGAGGTTGTGATTCCAAAGAAACGTGGGAGACCACCAAAGGTTAAGAAGAAAAGTGTCGCGGAGAGATTCATGAGTCAAAACAAAATAAAACTATCGATTCCTGCAGATAGTGTAATAACTCAGGTGGGACCTAATAAGTACACGGTGACCGTGGATCTAAGCAAGAGACCAACAAGGAAAGCTCCTGAGGTACCGAAAGGTGTAACTCCATGGAGGCCCGTTCCTAAGCCAAGGACAGTGTTCCCTAGAGAGAGACCTGTTCCTAAGCCAAGGACAGTGTTCCCTAGAGAGAGACCTGTTCCTAAGCCTAGAACTAGAAAGCCAGTGCCTCCTCCAAAGTTAAGGAAGCCCGTAAAGGTAATGAAAGAAGTTGAGGAACAGCCTCCTGTGGTCGCCCCACAGGAACACGAGATCGATCCATTCGGAACGTATCTTGAGAAGCCTTCCTATAGAAAGATAGAAACTGCCGCAAATGGTGCAGCGGTGACTTACTCAATAACCCCAAACTTTATGGATCCCTTGGACCAGATGACAGCAAGTAGGCAGGTTGTGAGGGGAATTCTAGTGAATGAGTTGAGGAGAATGGGAGGGTTGAAATATACGGAGACAATTAAGGTGAGAATGTCCAAGGAAATCGGAAATGATAAAACAAAGAAGGATTCAGTGTACTTTAAGTCAAAAACTGGAACTGCAACTAACTTTGAGGATATTGAAAGCACTGCAGCTCAGAACCAACTGACTATCTTATCCAGAATTGAAACTTTCCAGAACTTAGGTTCAAATTGGATTATTCTGAACATTGAGAGTCATTATGTTAATATTGCAATGTACAAACCTCTCAAGGGTAGTTCATATATGAAGTTACCCGCAGACATTAGTAATCCAAAATGCAGCCTCATAAATATGCAAAACAATGACAATAAATGTTTTATGTGGAGTCATCTGAGACATGTGAGACCAAGGGCTAGAAGAGCAACCACCATAACACGGCAGGACAGAGAGTTCGCGAAAAACCTAGACTATGAGGGAATAGACTTTCCCGTGAAAATAAGCGACATTGATAAAATTGAGAGGAAGAACTCCATAAGCATATCAGTGTTTGGCTATAAGGGTAAGAAGCAGTTCTATCCAATTAGAAACTCCAAAACAAAATATGACGAGCATATGGAGCTGCTGCTGTTGGGTGACAACGAGGGTGGTAACCACTACGTTCTAATAAAGGATGTAAACAGAATGCTCTTCAGTGTTAGCGGAAACTCAAACAAGAAACACTTCTGCCTACACTGCCTTCACAGTTGCGTTAGTGAGGAGTCACTGGAAAAACATCGTGAAACATGTATTGAGGTAAATGGAACTCAAGCCACAAAGCTTCCGAGTGAGGGTACAAAAATAAAGTTCAAAAACCATAGGAACTCAATGCCCGCACCATTTGTAATATACGCCGATTTTGAGTCCATACTAGTTCCAGAAGAGAGAAAACTTGATTCTGAAGACCCTGAGGACAAGAGTACTACAGAACTATACCAGACTCACAAGGCCTGTAGTTTTGGGCTTAAAACAGTGTGCCACTACGATGACCAGTACTCCGGTGAATATATAAGCTACGTTGGTGAAGACGCCACAGTGGTCTTTTTGAAGACCGTACTGAAGGAGTCCATTAAGCGCCGGGAAATGGTGAACAAAATCTTCAAGAAAAAGATGGTAATCACACCAGAGCAAGAAGCTGAGTTCTGGGTGACAAGGAACTGCTCCATATGTGGCAACGACTTAGGTGATAACAGAGTGAGAGACCACGACCACGTAACTGGACTGTACCGTGGAGCTGCCCATAATATGTGCAACCTAAAATATAGAATCACATGGAAAGTTCCAGTGGTCTTCCACAACCTAAGAGGTTATGATAGCCATCTAATAATGCAGGAAATTGGTAAGTTTAAGATGAACATCAACGTGGTCCCAAATAACATGGAAAAATACATTTCCTTCTCACTAGGTAAAAGTCTTGTGTTCATTGACTTAATACAATTCATGGCTTCTTCCCTGGAGGCACTTGTGAGTAACCTTTCACCTGAAGACTTCAAGATAGTCGGTCAGCGGTGGCAAGGTGAGGACTTCGATCTTGTGAGACAAAAAGGTATATTCCTTTATGAATACCTGGATGACATAAGTAAACTTGACACTGAGGGACTTCCAAGTAAAGATAAATTCTACTCGTCTCTATATGAGTCTGAAGTGAAAGAAGAAGATTACCAGAGAGCTCTAAAAGTCTGGGATCACTTTAAGATGAAAACAATGAGAGACTACCACGATCTTTACCTGGAGACTGACGTTCTTCTTCTAGCAGATGTTTTCGAGAATTTCAGGAAGACCTGCTTGGAGAATTACAAGCTTGACCCTGCTCACTACATATCAGCACCTAGTCTAAGTTGGGACGCATTCCTAAAACAGTCAGGAGAGGAAATAGAATTGGTAAGCGATATGGATATGTTCCAGTTCTTTGAGAAGGGAATGAGAGGTGGGGTAAGTCATATTGCTCATAGACACTCTACAGCGAATAATAAGTACATGGAAACGTATGACGAAGAAGCTGAAAACAAGTTCCTTATGTACCTCGACGCCAACAATTTATACGGCTGGGCAATGTCTCAACCTCTGCCTAATGGTGAGTTTGAGTGGATTGAGGAAGTTGACAAAATAAATATTGATGACTACCTTGGAGACAGCGGAAGGGGTATGGTTCTTGAGGTTGACATGGAATATCCAAAAGAACTTCACGATCTCCATAACGGTTATCCTCTAGCCCCGGAGAGCAAGGAGATCGATGCGTCAATGTTGTCGGACTACGCGAAGAGTATTGCTGAGAAATTCCAGCTTACAATCGGAGGAGTAAGAAAACTGGTGAACTCACTAGGTCCCAGGAAGAACTACGTCCTACATGCCCGTAACTTGAAACTCTACATAGATCTCGGAATGAAACTCCTAAAGGTTCATAGAGCAGTCTCCTTCAGGCAGTCAACTTGGCTGAAAAACTATATTGACTTTAATACTCAAAAACGGGCAGTAGCTAAGAATGCGTTCGAGAAAAACTTCTTCAAACTTATGAACAATTCCATCTACGGAAAGACTATGGAAAATTTGAGGAAGAGAGTTGATGTAAAATTAGTGTCATCGGAAAATGACCTCCTAAAACTTACGGCATCACCGTGCTTCCAATCACATAGGATTATGAATGAGAACCTAATTGTGGTAAAAAGAATGAAGGAAGTTCTGACCCTGAACAAACCGTGCTATGTGGGAATGAGCATCTTAGACTTATCCAAAACTCTAATGTACGACTTCCATTACAACATGATTAAGAAGAAGTACGGCAACAACTCAAAGCTCCTATTCACAGACACTGATAGTCTAATGTATGAGATTAAGACTGACGATGTGTACGAGGACTTCAAGAGGATCGGTGAAGAGGAGGACTGCTGGGACAACTCAGATTATCCAAAAGATTCCCCATATTACTCAGCTCATAATAAGAAGGTAATTGGAAAATTTAAGGATGAAGCTGGAGGAGTACCGATTGTAGAATTTGTGGGACTAAGGTCAAAGATGTACTCTTACGTGAAGGAAAGCGGCGGAGGTGGAATGACAGCGAAAGGTGTGAAAAAGTACGTGATCGGAAACAAACTCACTCACGAAAACTTTAAGAACGTAATTAAGACCAAAGGTAGGATGAGACATAAGATGAACACGATCAGAAGCATCAAGCATAAAATCGGAACTTACGAACTGAAGAAAATTACACTCAGCTGTTTCGATGATAAAAGATACCTACTTGAAGATGGTGTTACAAGTTACGCGTACGGACACCACTCAATAGGAAAAGTAAATTGTTAAATAATGTTGAAAAAATAATGATGAAAAATAATAGAAAAATAATAGAAAAAATAATACCAAAAATAATAGAAAAATGGTCTAGAAAAATATGAGCCCGCGTTTTTGAGGGAAAAATATGGAAACCGCTGACCGGAAGTTGGGTGAGATCGCGGGCCGAAAAAGTGGTCTAGAACCCTCATTCCCTATACTACTCAGATCATTCCCATATAGAATCCTATCTTACCCATAGCAAAGTTGTTATGAAATGATATAAGGAACCCATGTATTTCCCATAGTAAGTCATATGGAATCAGAGGCGTAGGCAGGATTTTCGGTCAGAGGGGGCCGGCAAAAATCCAGGTGGGGTCAAGCCGCCAGTGACTCGAGACGCAAAGTTGGCGCAAGAAAAAATTTGCGGACCACAGAACATTTTAAATCTCCCCCCTTCCCCCCCCCCGTCGACAACTTTTTCGGTAAAAAATTTTTCTGGACAGTAACATTACAATTGCTTTCGTAGCACTTTTCCCGATTTCCGTAACACTTTTTCCGATACTTCACCACGTGACCACGAAGATTCCGACAACATTAGAGAGTTTGAGCAAGAGAACAAAGTCGGACGACGTGGACCGTGGTTGACAATTTTTGCCTGTCTTGCACATTATCTTACGCATTCTGAGTTTAGGGTCCGGCGTGAAGACAGATTAGAGATTTATGTCTAGCTGTTTATGAATGCTGACCCAAATCCTTACCCTGATCAGGACAAAACAGCGCGACATGAATCCATATCTCGTCTTCGTTCTTCTGCCTTCGTTCACAACGAAAAATTCGCAAAAATTTTGGCAAAATTCGCTGTAAACTTCCTTCCGAACGAAGTAAGAAGGACAAAGACGGGATATAGTTTCATGTCTCGCTGTTATTTTCTGGGTCAGGGCAAAAATTAGGGTCAATATACATAAACAGCGACACATGGGAAGACACGCTGAGCAACCACCAGTGACGTCCAACACAGTATGCGCAGACGGCAATTTTTGCCCCCCCCGGCCCCAGCCCTGGCTTCGCCTCTCTATGGGATATGTATGGATTTGTACCAAATACGTATCAAACCCACATCAAAAACATGATATGGGTATGCTATGAAGGCAACCAGGCCATACCAAAGCCATATACCTCCCATATATGGCCCATAGGTTGAATCATATCAATCCCATAGTTGGCCCATATATGTCCCATATAATATGGTTTTGTAAGGGAAGTTTTAAAACTTCAAACGAGAGAGCAGCTGCCATCTGACTCTGCGGTCCCAAATCCTGTCAATTATTTATAAAACAATAAATAATAACCCATTAATTTAAAGTTTGTTCGTTCACTGCAACCAGATATATCAATCATGTTTTGCTCACTACTCTGGTTTAAATAAATGATTACAAAGCCCAGTCGAATTGTAATCAAGACCCAACGTTTCGACACTCCAGACTAGTGTCTTCATCAGGGGTGGTCTAAAGATGCAATCATGACTTCTTAAATACCCAAGGGATGACGTCACCTGCCAATGAGATGCATATATTCCAGTTATCGTTCCATGTTTCGCACACCAATATAGGTTAGGGGTTAGGTATTAGGGTTAGGTTAGGGGTTAGGTATTAGGGTTAGGTTAGGTATTAGGGTTAGGTTACAGTAGGTATTAGGGTTAGGTTAGGGTTACTGGGGTTAAGAATAGGTTTAAGGTTAGGGCGTGTATATATGCATATGGAGGTATTCAGTTAACTTTTCAGTACACTATAATATCCATTACATAATGTTTACTATATTGGTGCGCGAAACATGGAACGATTACCCATATTCCTCTGCCAAACAGGCACCGTCATCCCTATTCAAAGCATGATTACTCATATTTATATGCTACGCTTCAAGGCAAAGTCTTTGACCATAATGCAAACTACCAAATCACCACCACAAACAATCGCTATGGTCAAAGACTTTGCCTAGAAGCATGGCATATAAATATGAGTAATCATGCTTTGAATAGGGATGACGGTGCCAATTTGCCAGAGGAATATTATGCATCTCATTGGCAGGTGACGTCATCCCTTGGGTATTTAAGAAGCCACAAATGCATCTTTAGATCACCCCTGATGAAGACACTAGACTGGAGTGTCAAAACGTTGAGTCTTGATTACAATTCAACTGGGCTTTGTAATCATTTATTTAAACTAGAGTAGTGAGCGAAACATGATTAACCCATTGAGTTATGCCCAATGCTACATATATTCGAACTTATATACTATTACTTCACACTGTCTAATGCCAGACGATTTTGCTTGAGAGCACTGGTGCTCAATTGATTACCAATTTTAACATTGCTGTTAACATATAAGCAAAGTAGAAATGTCAATACATATACCCACAGAAAAGATAGCATAACAAAGAACGTCAGTAGCAGCCTCTTACCAGTTTTGACTGGCCTTGTCGTTCACCTAAATATGTTAAAATACATATTAATAAAAAAACTACACTATACAATCAAAAAACATTTTTTGATGAAAAAACTCAACCATTAGCAAAACAGCAGAGAGTCAAAAAAATGTTGAAAGATATAGGAAACTGAGAATTCCACAAAAGATGCAGCTGTAGATCAAAAACATAACTAGGGATCCAACGATAGTGCAAAGTCTCGAAATGAGAAAGACAGTTTAAGTGAACTTGGCAAAAGGCCTAAAGAATATTGAAATAAGACAACTGAAATTGCCTAAGTAACCTTCAAAGCACTGACTAGGTACAATAAATCACCACGAACATAAATCGTGTACACCCCCCGGATTGTTTACACTATAGATAGATCCATTGATCGGTCATTCGATTGAATTTTTCTACTAACAATAGTGCAAAGCGGACTTTGCACTAAAAAAGTCAATGTCGTTGTCTATCGTATTTTCAAACTCACCAAAGTTTCTAATAAGACAGGAAAAAGTCGACTCTTCATAACTCCGTCAGGTGGGTAGGCTCCCAGCAACAACCAACCACCAAGACAGCAAAATATCTCAAAAAGATAAGCGAAATTTTATTGATGAACCGTGTATAACTATAAATTAAATAAAACTTGTGGTGAAATAAACTGTCCAATAACACCAACCTTTAGCAGTATCTGTTCTTCATTAGGGCATTGCTCTACACACACATTCTGCAAAAACAAAACTCAATAAGCCTTATACATGCTAGCCTGCGTGGCAGGCCCTCAAATTTATGGGGGGCCTGATTTGCAGCGGGCCAGATTTTGGCGGGCTCCGGGGGAGGATTGAGGATCCTCCCCCGGAGCCCGCCAAAATCCTGCCCGTTGCAAATCAGACCCCATAAATTTGAGGGCGTGCCACACAGGCTATTTACATGCTCGGTTTATCCCCTATTTTTAGGGCACTGCCTCTCCCAAGTCTGAAAGTGTATGCACAACAAAGGAACAAAATGTAAACTTTCATAACTGTATTTGCATGTATCAATGGTAAGTTTACAGAACTATAAAAGTCGCTTTTCACATTGTTTAGATTGTCTATTAGGCAGTGTTGTAACGAGTCGAGTCATTGACTCTGACTCGAGTCAACTCGAGTCGCTATTTTCAGCGACGACTCGACGCGAGTCCAATACGAAAAATGACTCGACTCGAGTCAACGGCCCCAAATGACTCGACTCGGACTGGACTTGCTGATTTTGCCGTAAATGACTCGAGTCAACTCAGCTACAACTTGTACAGAGTAAATTCATCCACAAAAACGACGAATTATAACTCTTCGTCCTTTATCACCATGGTACAATGAGGAGATTGGTCAAGAAAAAAGGAATCGCAGGAAACTAGAGCGCCGCTGGCGCGCATCTGGACTATGTATTGACAGACAGTTATATGTCAAACAATGTGAGACAGTGAGTCAGTGCGAATACGTGAAGGGCATCGTACATCTGGATATTCGTTCGTGAAACTTTGGCGAACCAAGTTTATGTTGTCGCTACGGAGGAACTCTGATACCATAAAAGTTCTCTGCTGCGGAGTAAATTGTGGCATCGCCATTTCAAAGTGTACGGGGGTATTATACGAGAGAATGCGTTTCAGCACAAACAACTCGAAAGCACAAATTCCATGGAAATTCCACGGAACTCTCATGGGAGTAAAAATGAATTCATAATGAAGCAAGAACAGCACCAACAGAGAAAAATGTAACGTTTTCATAGGCTCTTTGGAGGATTTGTACTCGGTAAAAGTCTGCCGAAATTTTATCATAAATGCAACAAATAGCGAACTTTTCATACATGAACTCAAATAAAGAATACCGTTTGTCATTTCCGTGCGCAAGCCACTTTTAGGAGAGCAAAAGTTGACCACCCCCCTGGATAGCAAAATTTACTATTTAAAATTTTTTTTATATTTTCCATAATTTAAGAACTCAAGCAATCCATACATATAAAACATTACTTTTCATGAAAAGAATTGTGGAATTGAGAGCAATTTCAAAATTGTCTTACTTTTTTTGATACACCCTGTATTACTCCATTAATGAAACAATTACATTGGCTCCCCATCAGTCAACGCATCATCAATAAAATTGTTCTTATTACGTATAAATCTCTGAATGGCTCAGCTCCACATTACATTAATAATATGCTAAAACCTTACACACCATCGGCAAATTTACGCTCCTCATCCAAAGGATTGCTTACCATACCCTCAGTAAAACTAGTGAACTATGGTGAACGAGCGATATCGTTCTCATATGCTGCACCGAAACTGTGGAACGAACTGCCAGAGTATATTAGAAAGAGTGAGACCTTGCCTATTTTTAAAACCAGATTTAAAGACACATCTTTTTAAACAGTATTATGACTAAGTTATTATTTTAACAAGGTTATTAGCAATTTTAATAATATTATCAACATATATAACATAAAGTAATTTTATATTCTTAACGAGAAGAGCATATAATTAATTTTATAGTAATTTTATAGTATACTAATTTTAGTAGTCAATGCATGTACTATGTTCTAACACTTAGTATATATTTTTAACACTTAATGTTAAGCGCTATTGAGCTATGGGAAATGGCGCTATATAAATGAATTATAATAATAATAATAATAATAATAATTATTGTGACTGTATTGCTTGGGAAGAACAATGAGCCCGATATTATACAATGAGAACTTTGAAACCTTATCAGAAAATATATGGGATTTTGTATAGAATATATTCCTGACGGGCATACCTATATTACATTTCTGTTTTTAGAGATAACGCTAGTGCCACAGTTTTTAAAATTGAGTCTCAAAATATTTTGTACTTGTGCTAATTCTGACAGACTATTTTCATTTTTGGTATTTATGAAGGGCTATATAATTTCAAATTAACTTACAAAGCGTTGTTAATTAAAGTCTATTCTTTGTTAGTTCTGACTCCAGTTGCAAGTTTTGCTAGTTGTATGTACGTACACTCGATCAGCAGGCATGATGAGACATCTCATGTGGTTGTACTTAATCAATTGACTAGAACTGTGATATTGGCACAGCCTAAAGCTACCCAGATACTGTTATTAAATGACTAAAGTAATTAGTTTAAAACGCAAATTTGATTACTATTAAATTTCCGACTGCAAGCTAGGGTAGCTCAAGTCAAGTCTAGAAATTGAATCGACTCGACTTAAATCAGTGACTCGACTTGACTCGAGTGAAGCCGCTGACTCGACTCGAGTGAAGCCACTGACTCGACTCGATCAAAAACTGAAATGACTCGACTCGACTCGTGACTCGACCTGTAGGTGACTCGTTACAACACTGCTATTAGGTATTTGAACAATACGCACCACACAGTAAAAACAAATTGGTTAAAATGACCAATTTAAATTGGTTGCAACCAATTTGAATTGGTCATTTTAACCAATTGAAGAATTGGTTAGTCTGACATGACCAATTAAATATTGGCCATTTCGACCAATACATAATTGGTTACATTTTTAACCAATTTAAAATGGTAAATTTAACCAATTCCGTTTGTCACTCAATGTTGAATGAGCCAAAATAACCAAAAAAAATTGGTCATATCTGCAACCAAATTTAAAATTGGTCATATGCGTAACCAATTTTAAATTGGTCATCTCTATAACCAGTTTTAAATTGGTCAAATCCATAACCAATTTTTATTGGTCAAATCCCATAACCAATTCTAAATTGGTCAAATCACATAACCAATTCTAAATTGGTCAAATCACATAACCAATTCTAAATTGGTCAAATCATATAACCAATTCTAAATTGGTCAAATCCATAACCAATTCTAAATTGGTCAAATCCATAACCTAGATTCTAAATTGATCAAATCCATAACCAATTCTAAATTGGTCAAATCCATAACTAATTCTAAATTGGTTAAAGGGGCAGTATGATCAAAATTTTTATTCTCTTAAACCAAAGCTTAAACGAAAATGCTCGTAAAACTGTCTATAATAACTTGTTTTGAAGATTTTTGTTCTCATGCTTAGTTCTTGAGATATTTCTTTTGTTTGTAACCTTGTGACGTCATCTACTCAATTACATATATGAGATATCAGTAATTGTTGTGTATCTTTGTTATTTTTGATTGATTTGTTAAAAAACACAGTATGCTTATAATGATGTAGGTTAAATTAACAAACGCGCCGCATCTTTCGAAATATTTTGATAAAAATAGCCAAGATACACAACAATTACTGATATCTCATTATGTATGTAATTGAGTAGATCATGACGTCACATGGTTACAAACAAAATGAAATATCTCAAAAACTAAGCATGGGAACCAAAATCTTCAAAACAAGTTATTATACAGTTTTACGAGCACTTTCGTCTAAGAAAATAAAAATTTTGATCATACTGCACCTTTAATAATAGTGGATTAACCTAAGGTGTCCAGCAAATTAAATATGAAATATGTATGAAGGGAGTCAATCAATTATTGTTTGGAATTATGATTAGTTTTATTCAATCAGTTAGTCATTGAATAGCTTATCTACAACTACTGTATTTACAACATTCACATCGTTTTTGGCGGAAGATATCTGGGTGTCACATACAATCGACCGTTTTGACATGTGGATGCCTTTACTGTGTGCATTGGGAGGTATACCTTCAACTTCTCTGGCTCTAAAACAAATACATCTGCATGTACTGGTCGTCCCACCTCGTAGGAGTGGAAATGGCTTGAAAACATTATTGTTTCAAGTTTCTTCACAATAAAATAAATCTTCTTTGCACCAAGTACGAAAATTCCTTGAATGGATGCAAAAGCAGGAAGCTCATCAACATACCCAACAAACACAATAGCACCAACTCTGTAACTTGTGCCATGGAGTGAAACAGTTCTTGGCCTAAACAATGCAATGAAAAATTGAATTTAACACATCGACATACTGTAGGCCTAAGGCACGATGAAAGAAAGTGGGTAAACCCAACTTTGGAGGGGAGAATTTGGTAGGGTATTGCCTGAAGTTTTCACTCTTTGGTAAACATTAAAAATATCTATGCAACAAATAAATAAAACATTGTCTAAGCAAACTCCCCATCTCAAGACGTCCCCCCCCCCGCCAAACCACCACCACCACCTGCATTGATCTGGGACAGTTTTAATATATGGCATCTATAATGCCACTGAAATCTGTTTACTTACTTGCACAAGATATCAGTGTCAGCAAGGGATGGTTCTTTCTCCTTCAACACATCAAAATGTCCAGTATTGCCAGCAACAACTTGTTTTCCAGACTATAGAAATTAATTGGGAGAATACAATAGTTCAATGTTTATCTCAAACAAGATTTTCATTAAAAGTAGAAATCGATAAATTTAACCCATTGAGTAGCAGCACTCTCCTCCTGACGAGTAAAATCATCTGGCATAGGACAGAGTAAAATGATAAAGTAGGGCACATTGCCACTTAAAGGGTAATTAACAGGGTGTATGGGCAGATAGTCTGATTAACCCATTGAGCGGCAGCACTATCCCCCTGACGAGTAAAATCGTCTGGTGTCAGACATAGTAAAATAATAAAGTAGGGTGCATTGGCACTTAAAGGGTTAATTAACATTTTAAATTAATTACCGATCTTAGGTTTCTTCGCTAAAGGTTCATTTGTAGTTTGACCATTCTGCGAACTCATAAGATAACAATTACGTGCTTGATGACGTTCTCCCAAGCTTAGAGCAACATTGGTAAAATTCCCTAAGTATGACGCCAATCTTTTAAAATAGCTGTGTTTGGCTTCATATCGCATGCACCAACTCCTCACCATAGGGCCAAACCTTCATTAAAACATACAAAAGAACATGTTAAATACTACTGGTATTTGGAGTGGGCTTCAGGAGGTTACAGTAATAGTAGCAGGCCTGGGTTACATGCAATTGAAAGTGCACCCAATAGGTTCTTCATATACTGTAACATTCAAGAACCAAGTACTGGGAATGTTGCCTACAACAGGGAATGCTGACAGGGAATGTTGCTGTGCTCCGCGATGGTGAGAAAAAGGCGACTGCAATATGCACCTAAAAAGCCTTCAACTCAGTCACATTGGGCTGTGTCCTTCACAATTCAGCTTACAGTAGCTCTCAGACACATACCAGGGCTACTTAGGCCCGGTTTAGACGGCGAACTTCTCATGCGCCGAATCTAATTGTCGTAGATACGGCAAAATACGGGAAACTGATTTAGACGTCGAACTTAATTGCACCGAACCAAATTGCGAAGACATTATATTGAAAATATTTACAATGCAAATATATGATAATCATATTATGATGTTAAAAAATAATTATGCATTAGGTTCGGCGCATGAAAAGCACGGCGTCTAAATCAATGTCGAACCTGTGTCGCATATACGACTTGTCCTGTCGCATCTTCGAGTCGTGTCGAACTTAATCAAAACCTGCCGAACTTAATTGATTTAGACGCCGCTCCAACGTCGCACTTAATCCTTGCATTAGATTCGGCGCATGAAAAGTTCGCCGTCTAAACCGGGCCTTACAGTACTTACTTACCTGTAAATATGTGCAGGATAGTGAACCAAGTAGTGCATCTTGGGAATCACTGATCGTCCCGGATAGATGTGGGTAAACTGCCACAAGAAATCTTCAATGTAGCTTTCGAGAATACCAAGGTCATCAACACTTGTGATTGGTGAAAATACGATGTCAACAATTTTGAGTAGCGACAGGAAATGTTGCCATTTCTCATTATCATCAGGAATTGAACTGCCAATAATCAAGGGAAGAAATTTTCCAAGGCACCACATTTGTCTTGCTACAGTAGAAATTTATACAATTTATTATGAAAACAAACAAATCAAGGAAATAAGTGAGAAGAAAGAATGCAGCATGTACAATGGAATTATATACAGTAGAAACCAACAGGGTAGAGAACATTACAGCATTGTTTTGTGGATACTAGAGGGGGATTGGTGATACCCCCAAGCATTTGAATAGTATAGCTGAATAACAATACTGTCTTTCAGCTATGTTTGGTTATTGACATAACCAAAAAATTCTCACTGACCTTTCTGTTTGAGATTATTGTTGTCACTCTTCAGTGTTTGGCGGCTTATAGGCGATGGCTTATTTTTATCATTAAAGTAGCCATAATCAAACTGTGTCATTCTATCATCTGTGCTTTGTAACTCGCGATATTATCATGTAGCTGATGGTTTGCCTGGTGATGCTATGCATGATGTGCTTGAAGGCGTCCTTCAGTATGAGTGCAAAGAAATGCTAAAGGAGTTTATCTTGAAGGAGAAATACCTCACCCTGGATCAGTTGAATCGTCTGCAAACGCCATATGTTTTACTCAGCTCCTGATTTTCAACAATGAGTTGACATTGATGGTTATGACCAGCAGGTGTGCGCAGAGTAAAATACTTCTCTAAAAACTAAAGGAATAACAACGATGCAGAACATTTTGTTAAAGTTAATGCCTGCTACACTGCATATGCCATTGTAAATGGCTTTTACAAAAAAGCATTGAATTCTGAATGACAGGCATTTAGTCATTGGCATAGGCGTACCGGGCGGGGAGGGGGCGGGGGGGGGGGGCTACCGCCGTCGGGCAATATTCGATTAACAGTCGGGCAATTTTAGGTTGTTATGAAAAAAAATCGGACAAATTGTGTCATTTTTTTCGAAAATTTAGTCAATTTTGTGGCAAATGTAGTTTTTTTGGTATGTCCGGAAAAGTTTTTGACCCCTTAAATGGTACACTGACCGAAATTTTTTTGGCGACGGGGGGGGGGAGGAGTTCGCCAAAAAAAAAAATTCCGGGAAAAAATTTTAGGTTTTAGTCGGGCAAAATCAGGAAAAGTAGGGCAATTTCACGAAAAGTCGGGCAATTTTCTTTCCGCCCCCCTAATTTTTTCCTTCCGGTACGCCCATGGTCATTGGTTTGCCCTGTTGACTAAAGTTAGTATAATGATAACCTGAAGCCCACTAAAGCCGTGTTTACACTAAGAGACTGACATTTACCTGATATGTACCTGTACCTGAGAAGTACCTAGCCAAGCTTTACACGGTGTGTTTACATTTGTTACCTAACTAAAGACCCAAGTCCCATTGAATTGGCCATTATATACATGCAAAATCAATTACTGTACAAAGTAGAGAATTACATCCGCTGAGTGATGACACGAAAGACTCAAATTTACGTTGTTGTCATGGAAATTAGCCTCGAGCAAGTCTTGGGTCAGTGAAAATGTGTTTACACTGCAGGCCTGACCTGAGACTGACCTAAGACCATGTTTTCAGGCCACCTCTAATGCTTGGCCTGAAAACATGGTCTTACAATGAGTCGGTCCTAGGTCAGTCCTAGTGTGTTTACACTGCAGGACTAACTGTTCTAGGTCAGTCCTAGGTAAGGTACATATATGTCTCTAGTGTAAACGTGGCTTAACACATTTAAAATAACCCATTTACTGGCGGTACCCTACCATTGATGAGTAAAATCGTCTGGCATTAGAGTTTAGACGAAGATGGTGTTAAACATAATATGCATTTTTAGACATATTTACCATTCGCTTAATTTCATCTGCAGTGCCCATGCAATGTCGACACTTGAGGAATGCACCATGGCCTTCTTTGAAGCCTCCAATAAGTTGAGACCCAAGATTGTCTCCAGACACAAGCACAATCGTTCCAGCTAGTGAAAGTGGTTCACCCTTGACTGTAAACTGGTAACCACCATCCTAAAACAAAAATCTCAAGTTAAAAAAACACATTACCGTATTTCATTTTGTGGTAAATTAGACAAATAGTGACTGAAGGACAGGAGATAAACCAACAATTAGATTGTTACTTACAAGCGTGATGATAAACTTTGACTTACTTGTTCGAGGTACTCAAGGTCATTCATAAATGGCTCCAATAGAGCATCAATGCCATATTTCTTTATAATAGGTGTAGTTGCAATTAGCAATAGCTGAATGGTATCACACTGTGATCTATGCTTGGGATCAATGGTCCCAAGCGTGTAGTAAACAACCCCTAACAATAAAATATTATGGTATACTTCACTTTCCTATTAAATAATGGAAAAGTTTGAAACATGAATATACTATTATATAAGAAACTGTACCCATTCTATATTTGCACAGCGCACTGCTATTCTCGAAGCAGAACCAGTGGGTGGAAAGCTCATGGAAGGATTTACAGTAGTGTCAAGCTCTCTTTCCCAATATCAAGGCCGATACTCAGGCTAATTAAGTATCAATAAGTGATCAATTATTGTTGCTTACCTAATTTGTGCTTTCCAGCCTTGGTTCCAAGTGGATTTGAAATTTCTAACTCATCATAGTATAGCAATAACTGTAGTGCTGTTGGGTCATTGGAGAACAAAGGATGGGTTTTAAACAACAAGCCATCACAAACATCCTCAATGAAACCATCATCTTTGTGTTGACGCTGGTAGCCATTCTGGACCTAAAAATTAAAAGCCTTAGAACATGCTAATACTGTAATTTTAAAAACCATTATTATCATCTTGTAAACACAAGATAAGAGTAATTGAAAAACAGAAGAACAATTCAAAGTGATAATTTGATTTGATAGCCATTCTCTAAGTCATTGGGTTTAGGGACAGATAATTTCTTTTTTATTGGGGGGATACATTTTCAGTGGTGATAGTCGAAGTATTCTATATTTCCTGAAGGAATGGCAATTCATGAGTGAACTTTACCTCTTTAAGTATTGAATCAACATTAAGCATCTGTTCCAAAGATTCAAGAACTGGAATGTATACAATTTCATCATCTTTTATGACCTCCTTATATCTGGTCCCACATCTTCTCTTTGTAGTACTGTGCCCAACTGTTATTCGCCTGGGTTTCTATATGATCGAAATGTACAGGGTAAACATTAATAAAATGAAGGCAACAACCTAACAAACACACCAAAAATTGCCAGTCATATCTGTTGCACCAGATTATCAATGAGGGCCCTAGCAATGTGTTAGAAATTAATTTCTTCGTTAGCCTTGCTACACCTTACTAGAACAGGATATATTTTTCTTAAACAGAACTTACAACTAGCCCAAAGTGTTCTTCATAATCGGCATTCTGCTGATATTTTGTAGACACATGTTCGAATGGATTGGATATTGGGTTTTCTTCTTCAAAAAGCTCATTCAGACCAGGAACAGCTTCAAAATCTATGCCAGCATTCTCCAGACAATCTTGCAAGCTACTCTTAATAGTCTTTACTGTTCCTCGAACAAGCTGGGTTGAGTCCTCGACAATATTGTTCACACATGTTTGTGTTAAAAGATTAGTTTCCTTAGTTTTTAGGATAAATTGTGCATTTCGATTTCTCAATGCATCAATGGAATAATCATCTTCATTGTTAATTTCTTCATCATGTTCATATAATCCACCATCATTTATTGGTTCATGTTGGACATTGGTAACTTCAATCACCCCAAGATCAGGTGACTTTAGATCAATATTGCTGTGCTTGCGTCTAAGATGACTCCTGTACGAGTACACCTACAGTAAGTAACATAATGTAACCATCAGTAGATTAGCTTTTGTATTTTAATCTTAATATTTATTTATCAATACATTACTGTTTTTCAGGCACGTTTTGAATGGTAAGATTATTGAAACTTTGGTCATTTTAACCAATTAAAATGTTGAACCAATTTTAATTTGGTCATTTGAATTGGTTAAAATGACCAAAAAAATTGGTCGTTTGGATGCGTCTGAGACAACCAGTTTAAATTGGTCGTTTTAACCAAAAAGTAATTGGTCAAATTGACCATTTATTTATTGGTCAAAACAACCAATTATTTTTTGGTCGTTTTAACCAAAAAAGAAATTGGTCAAATCAACCATTAATTTATTGGTCAAA